CTTCTTCCCGCAAAAAGAAGAAACCGGCACCTGTGGGAAAATTGATAAATACAAGATTCACTCCTGTTTTGAGACCAGTCAACATCTTCCTCTCTCGCATCAAAGCAGACACAAACCAGGAAGATTTGCTCAAATTTGTTAAAGAACAGTTTCCTAATGAAGCTGAAACAGCAAAATGGGAAAAATTGAAGTCGAAATATGAATCATACTCATCATTCAAAGTAACCCTTTTTAGCACCGCGTTTAAGGATGCTCTTAACAAAGATAGCTGGCCTTCCTGTATTATTGTGAAGAGATATTTCAACCCAAAGAAACCTAAAAATGGCGACACCTGAAATTAATAATAGCAAATTGAATATTCTGTCTCTCAATTGCAGAGGTATCACAAATTCTCTCAAAGAAGTGAAGGATATATGTAAGCAGAACTTCCAGATGATATTTCTGCAAGAACGAAGGCTTTCAAAACAAAATCTTCATAAACTCAATTTGGTAAACAAAAATTTCTGTAGTGCAGCTATTTCCCCCATAGATTATGCCAATGACAGTCCAATCTCAGGTCGTCCATTTGGAGGTTTGGCTTGTTTATGGCATGAATCACTGCATCCATTCATTTCTGTAATTGATTCCATAAAAGATGATCGGCTGATGGGAATTTCTTTTCAAAATAAGGAAATCTCTATTTTGTTTCTAAATGTTTATATGCCATGTTGCAGCAGTGAAAACGAATACTTGTTTGTCTCCTTACTTTGTAAAATGCAATCTATCATTGAAAACTCTTCTATATCTAATATTGTTATCATTGGTAATTTTAATGCCAGCAACTCAAATACTTTTGGTCATTTATTGAAAGATTTTTGTTCAGAAAATGGTCTCATTTTATCTGATATGGAACTTCTACAGCCTGATTCCTTGTGATGCACATGCAACAACTAGTTGGTTAGACCATTGTATTACAAGTGTGAATATGCATAATTCTATTGAATCTATAGATGTTATTCAAGACATTATCAATCAATCAATCAATTTTATTTGGTCACTCTGATACAAACAAAAAACAAAACAACAACAAAGGGCAAACAAAATACAGAGGACCTGGAGGACGGGCATAACTTAATATTAAAGTTAAATACGTACAAGTACGTATAATTTCAGATGACAGACCTTTATCTGTGTTCATTAATGTTTCACATATTCCTATCATGTATGATACAAAAAATGACCATGCAGTCAAGCAATTTGTTTCCTGGAGCTCAGCTTCATCATCGCAGCTGAACCAATATTCTGACTCAACTTTTAAAAACCTAAGTTCTATAAAAATTCCTTTTGGGGCTATTCGATGTCATATGCCATGTCAGATGCCAGTCTCACCGTGAAAGCATTGATCAATTTGACCATGATATTTGTTCTGCCCTTAATAGTTCACAGTCTCACATGGTGCATGTTAGATCGTTACATAAGCACATTAAGCCTATTCCTGGATGGAACAGTGAGGTCCGAGACTCTTATGTTGCTGCTCGACAAGCATATCTTGAATGGGTTTATCATAAAATCCTCGCCATGGCTGTATCTTTGATGCATATGTTAGAACAAAATTGCATTTCAAACGATTGTTTCGAGCTTGTAAAAGAGAGCGAACAAGGAATCAATGTGATGCTATTGCCAAATCATTATTGAGTAACCATCCCAAACAATTCTGGTCTCGCGCTAAGCGGATCATTTCAGATGACAATAACGGCCCACTTTCAGCTAGCGTTGGGGGTGCCACTGGGCAGAATGAAATTACTAATATGTGGAAAAATCATTTTGAGGAAATTTTTAATAGTGTTCCCAATGAAAATGATGGAAATTTTGTGTTAGGATTTTTGAATTCTGATGTTGATAACTGTTTCAGTAATTACTTGCTCACTGTCGATGCACTTGCAAGTATTGTTTCTTCACTTAAATCTGGTTGTTCACCTGGTCCTGATGGGATAACCAAGGAACATTTGGCATATTCTCATCCAATTCTATCAGGGCTTTTATGTTTGTATATTAACACATGTATGAACCATAGTTATATTCCAGCATGCTCCCTTTCAAGTTCTATTCAGCCTATAATTAAGAACAAAAATGGTGACATTTGTAGTGCAAGTAACTACAGGCCTATCTAAGATTTTTGAAAAACACATTTTAAATAACATTGGGTCTTACTTAACTACATCTCACAACCAGTTTGGTTTCTAGCCTGGTCACGGGACTGACATGTGCATTTTTACAATAAAGCAGCTAGCTACTTATTATTTCAAAAAATCATCACCAGTTTTCATAGCTTTTTTGGATGCCACTAAAGCTTTTGATGAAGTTAATCACTGGACTCTATTTCGTAAATTAATCAACAGAAGAATCCCCAAAATATTTTTATCGCTGATTGTACACATGTATCGTAAAATCCATGTTTGTTTAAATGGGGTAGCAGTGTGTCAGATCCTTTCTCTGTCCATAATGGTACCAAGCAAGGTAGTATATTCAGTCCATATTTATATGCTGTTTTCGTGGATGACCTTTCTGTTGAGTTGAATCAAGAGACCATTGGATGTGTAGCAAATAACAATATTATCAATCATATTTTTTATGCTGATGACATGTGTTGCATTTCACCTTCAGCCAAAGGTCTTCAACGTTTACTTAACATATGCGATAAATACTCTACTGAACATGACATCTTGTACAACTCGAAAAAATATGTTTGTATGTGTATCCAAAATAAAAAGTTTAGGCTGAATAATATGCCTGATATCAAACTTTGTAATTCTGTATTGACTTATGTTTCGTCCACTAAATATCTTGGTGTTTTCCTATCCAGTGATCTTAGAGATGACCTTGACTTGAAACGTCAGTATAAATCAATTTATTTTATAGCCCATACAATTTTGAAAAAAATTGTCAATTGTTCCACTACTGTGAAAAATCTTCTATTTAGGACGTATTGTTGTAGCATTTATAACTGCCAGCTCTGGTTGTTTTTCAATAATTATAATTATAAAAAAGTTAAAATTTCATATAATAATGCTTATCGCGTAATTCACTGTGTCTCTAGATCTGAGAGTGTCCGTCACAAAATGGTATCTGGGAACATTCCCTCTTTCGAAGCACTCCATAGAAAAAATCTGTGGTTGTTCATGACGAGATGCAGGAACTCCAATAACATTCCATTACAATCATTATTTTATTCCCAGATACTGTTTGTCACGGACTATCTTAGATTCTATACCTCACTTTTGGTCTCTTAAATTGCTATAGTTTTACTCTTTTTTGAGACTTACTGTGAATCTGATTGTCATATCAGGTATTTTATGTATTTATTGTGTTATTTTTGTTTTTGCTTATGTTTATTTGTTATGTTGTTTTTATATGGACCACAGCGGTCTGGAGTAATAAACGAATTGAATTGAATAACAAAGCGATTCATAGATAGGCTTACCATACGTCCCGGTTTAGCCGGGACAATCTCGTTTTTATCATGTTTTCCCGTCTAAATGTCCCGGTTTTGCAGTATGACAATCATGAATAATTTTTCCATTTGATACAAATACATAATGTACTGTCGTTGAATCTTCAAAATTCCGAAAACAAAATGCAAGTTTTGTTTAAAGAGTTGAACAATTTAAATTATATGAAGCAAAAGCTAATATAGGATATTTTAATAGGATTCACCGCTAATTTTGATGCCATTAAAGTTAATCTAATGTTATGGAAAACGTCCAAATAAGCCTCCGGAATAATACCAAGTGTGGCTTGTCCAATCCGCACCATCCCTGTTGAATGGTTCAGATATATGGTGGCTCGATTCATAGGTCCACTCCGTGCCCAATAAAAATATATATATAGGTTCATACTGTTTCCAACAAGACGAGTAGATGACCCATAAAACCATTTTGTGTCCAATCGTAAATATATACTACTACCGGGTGCTCATAACGGGGAATTCCCTGGGAAAAGAGGAACTTATCGAACTTGCTTCTTCTTGTTGCGCTTCAGTTTATTGTGGGACAATATTACGGTGAATTTCATACTTCATGACACTCATTTTAGCCAGTCAATGTTTGTCATTTTAGTTTTAAACAATTTCTGGCGTAAGATGAGATGTTAGTTGAATGAATTATCAGTAAAGGAAATCAGTACCGTACCGTAGTCGTAGGCCTTTCTGAGTCGTTTTTATGCTGATTGTATCAAGTCAACTCAGTATAACCCCAGAATCAAAACCACAATATCATTGGAACGTGTGGCTTGTTTGAATGACAAACTTCCCACTGTCTGTGTCTCATATATTTGAATCCATTCGTTGCTTATATTCTGACATTAGACCGCAGAGGCTGAGAGTACTGGAGTAGTGAATAAAAAAAATGAATATTCAATAAAAGAGTTCTCATAATTTGACTTGCATAATCTAGTTTTATCAAATGTATTCTCGTTGTTCGTTAATTTATTTGTTATTGCAGTATTGAGAGTTATTATGTATTAAATGTTGTTCAAAATTTGAACATATATTTAAAGAAGGCGTGTGCAATCTGCAGCTCGCGGGCCAAATGCGACCCAAGAAGAAGAATTGGGGGGCCCGCGAGGAAGTAGTGTCAATTTTGAATAGTGTGCAGACCATAAAACGGGTTTTTGAGTTAGTTTAATCTGATATGTGTAAGTAATTACAATCCCTTTGCGTTGCAAATCCTATACCTGAGTCCAATTTTTTGTCTATGCACATAACATTACAATGATCTAACAGCTAGTTTGTGCGAAACGAACAACGCATGTCATAAGATCAATAACCAAAATGTTTACTACTAGAAAGCCAATGTTAAATAAAGGTGCGGTCCGCGGTTCACCCAGTTATTCGTGTATGGACCTCTTGTATTAGAGGTTGAACACTCCTTTTTAAAGCAATCTGGCAATGCTAATAGCTCAGAAGTCATTACACTAACTGCTTAGTCAGTGTCCATTACCTGTTTTTGTATTTTTCTAGATTTATGTAATTCTTCTCCAAATGCAGTCATGATTTTCTTTTTTTGATGAGGCAATTGTGAAAGTTAGTGTCATAAAAATGTCAGCCGTTTACCCAAGCCAACAAAATAAAGCTATTCTTGTGAAGAATATCCCACCGAAGGTACACAGTGACAAAATAATAATTCATTTTCAAAGAAGAAGTAATGGTGGTTGTGGAGATGTGAAGTCTGTTACTCATCCAAGATCAAAATATGACTTGAATGAAGCTGTTGTTGAGTTTGAAAATCATGAAAGTAAGTGAATATTTAAAAGTTAATTAATTGTATATTTAATTAAATTAAGAATGTTGTTGGGCTTGATCAATAATTTCTATAATACATCGAGTTGACTTCTGGAATCATTTCACAGCTGTGAATTTTGCTAAAAGTAATTCTGTTTATATTTTCTATATTTATATTTAGCATTTGCGAAGGAATTGTGCTATCATTGGTTATCTATTTTTAGGTATGAAAGCAGTTCTTCAACATCCAGTACATATGTTGAATGAAAATCGTCTTGTTGTGACTGAATTTCCATATCAGGTAATCTTATGAAAATAATGACATTGATATCCTAAAAAAAATATTGAAATATTGCCATAAATATGTTTGATGATGAGCATAAACTCGTTGTTACTGGATTCTATTTTTGATTACCTTACTGAGTGTACGATGCTTTATATTGTCAGTTTATAACATATCTGCTCAGTTTTCAAACCCAATTTTTTTTTTCAAAACCATCTGTGGCATTTTTTCTTAATTTATGAAGTTTCTTTTGCCATTTAAGTCATTTGATAATAATTGTCACTTTTTTTTATAACTAAAGTTTTACAAAACTTGTGCTGATGCATGATATCAATTCAGGATAAGGCAATCATCATAGTAATAAAAAGAAAAAATGTAATTTTACTATTTTCCAGTTACTGGGTGAGACTGAAGTAGAGATATCTGAATCAACAATGTCAAAACTGTCACGTAAAACAGATGTATTCCTAATTATAACAGATAACACTGGAATCACATTTGTCAAGAAAAATGGGAAGCATTTCATGACAGGTTGTATTTTGTTATGGGGTTTTTTCTTTGATTGATGAGATATATTGAGTGATCATAAATCGTGACCCAATCATTTATTCATGTTGTTGAGTGTGGCCCATTTTTTTACACTTCAAATCTGTCAATACTCATGTTGCAGCAGTAAAACCAATTTAGCTTACCGGTATGTCACATTTTAAGGTCAGATTTTTGTAATTTTCAGATATGTAATTAATGAGTGATATCATATGGCATTGCGTGTTTGAGGATGGATGAAACACAAATGTCTTACACCACTCGTTATATGCCAAGCTATCAAATCGTGAAATAGAAAACAGGTCCATAATGGTAGAAAATCAAAAACAGTTCATCTCTGAAAAAAAAGTAAATCTACTTTGGCTTTTCTGTGGCTATATGTTCTTCAGTTTGTAATAGTAATTGCTTAGTAGTAATTGAACAAACTAGCTTATGATAAAAAAAGTAGAAATAAGCTAGTTTGGTTTTAACAGCCAAATTTAATAATGTACATTAGGTACTACCCAACATCCAAGCCAAAACAAGTACAGCGGTGACACTGGTCCATACAACAGGTGATCAAAAAGTCCACATCTGAAAGATATTACATAAGCTATTTTGGTTTTACTGTTGCGATGCGATTCTACATATGTATTTATAAATATATGGAAACATATAGTAATAGCAAATATTGCTCAGGTCAATTGTATCAAGTTATGGCAGCAGCAGATAGAATTGAAATGTTGATCGAAGAGAGAAATTCACCAAACATCTCAAGTACCAAATTGTATGATGGTTCAGATGTTACCACTGACAACCCTAGTGACAGTGACCAAACTACTGTTGACGTAGATAAGAATGTTTTCTCTTTCATGAAAATTCTCAAGCCGAAGAAAATACAAAATATATCGTGAGTTTGAATATTATGCATTTTAATGGATTTCCACCTTTTTAAAATTACCTTATTGTTAGTATGGTGTAAGATTTATATTATTCTATTCTTTTGTTGTTTGTTTTATTGAATATGATTCTATGATAAAGAAGTTTTGTTTGTATGTGTTTGAATTACGATATTAGGAATTATATAAATATAATTTTTTCAACCAATGGAAAAATTTGATTTTTTGAAAAGCCATCAGTTATTATTATTAAAGAACTCACACATTTGCTATATCAATTGAGTACAGTCAACTATTTCAGTGTTATCGAGTATTTTGCAAATATTCTCATTATGTACTCTGGTGTTTCTATGGAACTTATTGATTGAATTTGTTCCAATGTTTATTGGAAATTAGCTAGAAATGGCAGTTTAACTTATTTGCAATGAGGTATTATACATGTTTCTGAAATGATAAAATATTTTCATCACAGAAAAAAGTACAAAGTTTGCATCGAAGAATCGGGATCAAAAATTTCATTTATACCTGGCCAATCAAAAAGTCTGACAGGCAACCCAGATATAACTGGTGCGGCTAAAAGTTTTAACAATCTTTATTTTCGGTTTTCATCCGATATTCAAAGAAAATCTATTGAAACCAAATTTTTATCGAATTCTACTCCCAGTAAAATAAATGAAGCTGTTGATTTCATTATGAAGAAAAATCCAAAAGTGTACATAAGTAAGGCAGTCTCAGAGCAAGACAAGAAGCTCATTATTTTAGCAACTTCAGAATCCGAAGCAGATCAAGAAATTAAAACCTTACTACAAATGTTTCCACTTACACAAAACGAGGAATTGGCTTGTTATTGGTTTGGAAATGTTAAGATTGTTGTCATTCGTGGGGATTTTCGAAACGAACGTACAGATGCTATATTATCAGAAGTCGATTTTATGGGTGCTGGGAAAGTCGTTGCGGCATGCAATGATAGTGTGAAAGCTGAAATAAATGACTGGAAACAATCAAAAGATATTCTCTTTACAGTTGGAGGTGGTGATCTTCAGTGTAAAAGGTGGGATTTTCAGTTTAAATTTATCTGGAGCAATATCATGTGTGGTCATATAAATGTTAACTTCATAGCCACCACACAAAATGTTCAATTTGCGAACTTAAATTTAGCAAAAAAACTACTGGCTGTGCCTGTGAGTCAATTTGGTACTCCCGTAGTATGTGTACCAGGTTAGGCCATAATTTTATTCTGTCTTTCCTTATTTTAGTTCTATTACGAGTTCGGGGACTGTCTGTGCTAGCCAAGTGAATATACCCTCTGCCCATAGGTTCAGTCCCTTTACACAACTTGATGTGAAGTGGGCAAAAAAATAAGTTACCACCATATTGGTACACATACTTCTGGAGCGTCGTCAATTTTACTGTATATCTGTTGCTGTTATTTACATAGTCAAAATTCACTATTGGGACGCAATGCATATTTAACTAGTAGTGAACCAGTATTTTTTTTTCATTTTAGAGTGATTCACTATACCATTCATAGGCCAATTTCTGAGTTGAAATTGGAAGAACAAATTCGCAAGGGAATTGAGAAAGCCAATGATTTGAAAATGAAAACTATTTCTGTACCAGTGGATTGTATAGGTGGGTTTACCCTTCTTCGACATAAATTAGACCACATAAAAACAGATGGTTGATGACTCGAATTCATTCATGTTTCATCTTGTTTTGAAAAAGATTTTTGTGCCTTATTTAGCATTCTGTGATGTAACAAAACATGTTGAATTCGGCTTGTTTAGGTGAAGGTCTCGAAAGTAAAGCTATCATACTAGCTGTGTTGAATGGGATTTCATCGTTTTTGTCTGAATGCCGAGTGATTAGCAAAAAGGTTTATATATCTGATATTCATTTTGTGGTTGCTAGTCGATCCGAACTTCAAGATGTCATTAGTACCGTTTCAGCAAGGCTCGGGGAAATGGATACGTCAAGTTCAGGTATAATCCTTTTTCTATCTCAGTTTTGTTTTGTTGGGGGTAAAATTTTACTGACATGTTATTTTGACTCAATATAGTATATGAAAGGAAAAACAAGCTCACAGATGTGCCAACTTATATAGATAAGATATGATAACTATTTGATATTATTATTTATTGCGATTCATGTGATCAGATTTTCATACTTATCCTGAGGGGATAAGTGGCGATTATATGGCTCTATAATTGCAGTTCATTTTCGTATATAAATAGCTAACCAGTTATTTTAATTCATGCATAGACAACAACAAAGCGATTCCTCTGACAATAATTTCACCAGGAAGGTGGTGTTATGGATAAAGCAAGCGTGTTTTTAATGCTTGGCAATTGGTATGATGCACCAATACTCTAAGACAATGAGACTTTACATTTGCCATGTCCTCAACTGTCATCTGCAATATATTCATTTTTTGTATCTTAAATTAACAATTTTCTTCAAAGTCTCATCTGCATCTTCGATGCAAAGTATCAGCGCATCAAGCTCAAGTGATACATCATCAGAATGTTGTCCCATATGTCTTGATGAAATGTCTGGTGCTGTAGCATTGAAGACATTAGATTGCAAACATGCCTTCCATCAATCTTGTATAGATAAGGCATTCACAGTAAGTTGAATTAGACTGATAGTTTTCGCTGTTTTAGGTTTGAATTATAGCATTTTCCTAAATTGTGGGTCTGATAGCCAGCCTAGTGTAAGGATGGAGAACCAAGACCTGGGGGTTACAAAGTAACACACCATGTTTTTCTTTGACCAGACGACTCGCGATTATGAATGAATGCAACACTAACATTTCAGTGATAAAAATGGAATCAGCTTTAGTACAATATAACAATAAAAAACTACTGCAGTATACTGGAGTGCATTTTTGCAATCATTTCTGTCTTGTTCTGGCAGTTTGCTTTCAGAGGTGAATCAAAGCGGGCGCATAACACGATTTGTAGTATATCGACTTTAAAAAGTAGTAGCTTCATATTTAAGTGACTACATTAGCAGAGCCTTTTTTGGATTTGAAGGGAGGGCATGATAAAATGATGATAAAAAATATCAATATTGACAGGTATCGAAGAAATGTCCGATGTGCATGAGAAATTATGGAAAAGTTGAAGGTACTCAACCTAGAAATGCGACCATGCATTCAACAGTCATTAGAAACTCATTACCTGGGTATAGATGCGATACTATTCAGATCAACTACAATATTCCATCTGGCACACAGGGGGTAAGTTTTTTTGACCAAGCAGGAAATTCGCATTTTAATTGAGATGCCACCAGTCGTTTGTCCAGAAGTGTTGTGATTGGAAGCGGTTTCGAATTTGATCTTTGGGCACGAAGTGCACATAGTAATTTTTTTCCCATGTCCGGCATGGAGTATTTTATTATTAAATTACCTATGAGTGATGAAAATGTTTTCATGACAGCCAGAGCATCCAAACCCAGGAGCACGTTATCGTGGGACTTCCAGAACAGCTTACCTGCCCTATGACACACTAGGGAAGGAGCTATTGCATTTGCTCAAAAAAGCTTTTGATGCAAGACTGACATTTACTGTAGGAAGATCTGTTACAACCGGATGTGATAATTGTGTAACCTGGAATGATATTCATCACAAGACGAGCATGCATGGGGGTCCAGCAAAGTAAGTAAACTGACACCACAACTTTGTTATTTGTAAATTTGTTAATGTGTGGAAAATTATGCTGACTAGCTGTCGATGGCACATTTATTGGCACACACTATTTCAACCCCATTAAGGGTCTCCCAACATGATTTTGTAGGTTTGAGTCCAGTTGGGGATGATTATTTTATCACTGGACTTCAGGTTCACATACCACTGGTTGATTATGGATTCCATAATATGGAATCTATTTACGAGACCTAAGCTTTATCATTTAATCGAGCAAACTTATCTTCTTTATTTGAAAACATTGAAATCTTATTATCAGGGCACAGAAGTGCATCTCTGTCTGTAATAAAATGCATATTTATTCATTCCTGTGAGAAGAAAGTTGACAAGGTGGTTCAATCATTTTGCCAAGCATGCCCAAACTGTGAATTCCATCATCGCTGTAAGACCACTGTAGCTATTTTTATAAACTTCTGCCAACTATCTTTAAGATCGTCTTAATGGCATTTGTTTTTCAGTTTTGGATATCCAGACCCAACGTATTTGACCAGACTGAGGCAAGAACTTGCAGATAAAGGAATAACAAACTGATTTGTGTATTATACCATAACCATGTGTGTATTTATTGTATTTGTCAAAATGTACCTTTTTATTTGCTTCTGATAAAATATCTCTATCTCCTCTTTCCACTAATCATTGTAATTAAATGTTTACATAAACCAGTGCTCTTCAACAGGGGTTCCGCGGAACCCTAGGCCAGGGGTCCGCAACTACTTTTTAGTGCGACCCCAAATTTTTTTTTCTAATTTCTCTCGACCCAAGCATTTGGTGAACATGTAATTGGTTTGAGACTATTATTGAGTTTTTTGTCGGCCGTTGATCCCCACTGATTGAAGACGCAAAGATGTTTGAAGGTGCATGCGGTGTTCTGTTCTCACTTAATTTCTCCGTTGTATCTTCCGCTCTTGGCTTTTCTTGGAGTATTCTTCAGTAACCAGTTTGTCAACATTATTTGTGACTAAAACTATGTTTAAAATTCTTAATCCTGCTAAATTTTGAATTTAATCAAGAATGCCTTACAATAACAGATGTAACAGCCGGACTATTTAATTTAATGGAAAAATCTCTTCATCTGTTGTTATCAAGCAATTCCACACGGCTACGGCTAACCTCTTATTGCTACCAAACACAATTGTTTACGTAGTAGGATAATACCAATTAACAATGCAAACAAGTACGTAATGAATGATTCCCCGACTTTCGATCCCAGCAAAATTCTTCCGCTTTATACTCTACCATTGCAAAATAATAAGATAAGTTTATTTCGACTCCATAATCGGCAAAAGGGGATAAAACGGTTGCTAAAAACAAATAAATAAAAACTGATTATGAAATCAGGAGAGTAAACAAAACCTTGGATAAGGTTTAAAACGTACAGAATATAAGATGGAAGGTATTGTTAGAAAGAAGTGGTACGTGTTCACTCACCTAAAACTACTGAATCAAATCATTCACGCTCGCACACACACAACCAAAGGGCATTAAAAAAATTAGAAAAAAGAGAGAAGCTTTAGATAAATTATATGGTAACCAAAAATAAACACATAAAAAAGAAATTAGAATAAAAGATAATAAATGACAAGAATTGTTTGCCACTCCATTTTAATAATTTTGTAAAAATTACCATACAAGAGTGAACAGTATTTAATATAAGGACAAAAAAAATTGATTTCGCCAAGCCGATTATAATTGGAGTGCCAAATTACCCAACCAAAGTTGAGTGCGCGAAAAGGTGGGCTAAACAAACCTTTTCATTGGTTTAATGGTACTTATTTCAAGAATGGTTTTGCGAGTTGGCGCCAATAAACCGATTTATATGTTTCAAACTATCATTTTAATTCAATACATTCAACAACCTTCCATTTAAATGTGCCGGTAGAAAAGTTTGGCCTAGTCCATCACAGCTATTTCTAGATTGATTTCTGATCACTGCATTTAAAATAAAACTCCGACAGAGCAAAATGATTATCGAGTTATTTGATTATGAATTATATTTACCAAAATACCAATTATAACTAACAAATATCACGCGAAAACCGCTAAAACGAGGTAATATTCACAACCACAAAAGACTGTCTGAATGGCAAAAGTATCTGAGCGTCTCTAAAATGTTTATTTCACGTCAATTTTGCCCTTATGCTGATTGGCCAACCAATGTTACGGCAGTAAATGAGGAAGTGTATACTCGGGGAAACATCCATAATTAAATTCAGAGATTTATCAAGTTGTTAAACAGCATAAATACGCTACACAAACGCAATACTCATATTTATGGCAAATTTAAATTGTTTTACGACCAAGAGCGGAGGGCTTCGCGACCCAAATTTGGGTCGCGACCCCTGCCCTAGGGTTCCGCTACACATATAGTGGGGTCAGGGGCGGATTAAGCCCCTCTGGTGCCCTAAGCACTAAAGACTTTGATGCCCCCTCATGTGTAATTTAATTATAAAAACAATAAACCACATAAGTGTATTATCCATTAAAAATAATCACAACCAACAGTAAATAAAACAAGTGAGCTACGCCCAAATATATGGACACGTCTGCTCGCAGTACAGTACGGTTTACCGTACCGTCGATCAGCGTAAGGAAAAATCGTAGCAAAGTACCGTAAGGACTTCGTTACGAACCATCGACGTTCGATGGCACGTGATCAAAAAGAAGAGGAGTGTCGGCTATGCGTCCGCAGAACGTTCGGTGACGTCATAGCAAACAAAAACCAATCTCACAGAGCTAACAGAAATATTTGGAATAAATAAAAGTAATAGCCTTCTGGAGAAAAATTTCATCTTTAACCAGTAAAAATTTCGAAGCAATCGGTCCAGTAATGAAAGAGAAAAGCGGGTTTTTAGATTTTCCACTAGATGTCCAAAAAGTGTCGAAGAACAACAACAACAACAAGACCAACATAATATTGAAACGATTGTTATGTCCACTACGTGTCCAACAACCATTACGAACATTTTTAGGTTTTTTAACTGTTATATATAGCCGAAATATATATCGGCCGTTTACTGCCGATATGATATAGGATAGGATTTACATATTTATCCTGATGTAGAGGAAAGCCGATAAGACTGCTTACTCATATGGCGAACCACGGCCTCTCGTCCGGTTACCAGTCCAGGTCGAGTATATATCGGCAAACACGCAATATCGGGACGATATATCGGTTGAGCTCTAATCCTGAGGGAGTGTGACAATGAAGATTCATGCCTCCAGTCTCAACGTGAATCGAAATACTAAAGGATACAAGTCACAACTGTAGTTTGAAATTTTACCGTACCTAGTAGCCTACCTCAGGGTGGTTCAAGGTTGCTAGGTTGAAGGACCGCAGAAATTTAAGATATATGAAGCCTTCATTCATCTTAAAGGTGGGTTATCACGCAAACATTTTTGTAGCAAATTTGATTCTATATAATTTATTAAGATTTTTGGCGTTTACCGTTTGCACAAAATGGACTTCGTTTGCGAGACTCGAATTTTTAAAAGTCGACCCTATCGAAATCGAACGCAAATTAGTATGTCCCGTTGATGACGTAGTGGTGAGAACTCGTTGGCGAAACTTTGCATTAGGTCAAAGGCAATTATAGCATTCTGTGTACTCATTTTGCACCGTGTGCTAGTTCCATTTGGCGGCGCATTTGGAGGAAGCTTTTATGATTTAAATCAATACCAATATCTTTAAATAATATTATTGCGTTATGAGAAGTTGCAGTAAACTCAACTAATCGAGGTCAAGACGTACTCGAGTTCTGTGCCGGACCTTCTGCTGCAATATATTTTCTAGTGAAAAAGCGCATACCAGGCCATTTTTATAATTCATGTGTGTTTACTCTGCTTATCTGATCCTATAACTAGTCTTTTTATTATATTTTCGATATATATATAAACTATCTGACTATACCGGTATATGCGCAAACACTACCGAAACGTATGAAATGTGTAGTAACCTTTTCTGATGTCTCTTCATGGAACTAAAAGAAGACCTCTAAGTCGAAGGATCGTTTCAGCCTTAAAATTATGTTGGAATCCATGCAAACTTCTACCCACAGCCCGAAACAACAATACCTCACGCAATTATTCGAATCAGTTTTTATTTATTTTTAACATTTTATTACAAGTTTTCATCATATGTAATTCATTCATGCCAATAAATGTGTTGTCACGAATCTCCAATAGTTGATCGATAACAGCTGGACTGTGTTGTTAATAGCAGTGTGCACTGGAAAACGAAGTATACAAATTAAATTGATAGAACTGACATAAAAAAAAAGATCAGGATATTATCACCAGACAGTTTAGTAAGGTTCAACATACAACAGTGTTTTGTTGCATAATCATGTGAAATGAATATAAAAAAAAACTGAACCATTAGTGGGATTCTACGTTTATCTGGTACGGGTAGTAGACTATCACTCTTTTGGTAAATGTACAAATTGGCGATTTGTATTTGGTTCATACAAAAGTGTGACTGGGTACCATCATGCTTTGACTAAATATTTTATCCAACAGTCGATCAACGAAATAATGTGGTAAATACTTACTTTAGGATCAGTTCCTCAAAGCCTTCTGACGGGCGGTCAGTACCGGTACGATCATTACATAAAACGCCGTGGCTTGATCCCCTCACCTTCAGAACTTCTTATGCATTAGCATTTATGCTTAACAATACATTATAGTTTCAATCTTTATTAAACTACGCGATGAGAAACCAATAGCCAATGGCGAAGGAGCTAATTTCTTGAATGAGTTTTCACTACTACGTCATCAAGGCCGTTTCCGAACCTGGGTCGATTTTTGTTGAAGCGGTTTTTAAAAATTCATAAGTGAAAAACTAAGTCCATATTATGCAAGCGGTAAACGTTAAAAATCTTAAAAAAATATATAGAATCAAATTTTCCACAAAAATGTTTGCGTGATAACCCACCTTTAAAGATAATTCCCGAGAATTACCGTTGTATTTTGCGCATCTCGCGTTTAATGTCGCTTCAAATTATATTCATTCGTGCGTGACAGATAATACTTGAAATCAAACCAGACACTGTGTGATGGGCGAGAAAATACGTTTCCGCCGTGTTTTCCTTATGTCACCTTTCTTGCGACACTCATTTTATTACGAATTGTTATATTGAGTAATTTTAAAACTTGCAGCGTGAGCAAGCTTAGTGCCATCGTCAAATACTAACCAAGGCCGTCTAAGTTGGTATTTCGGGACCTAGCTAAAAACTGGATTGCGCGGCGTTAAGTCGGCTCTGCGTTTCGTCACTACTCACTACTGTCACATGACCGACGCTTGAAAACAGAGGTGTGATTTTTACTAAAATAAAGGCACCAAGCGATAGAAAAAGGGTTTGAATCTCGGGATCCCAACCCCAGTTGGAATACCTAAAAAAACTCAAAAAGTTCCTCTATTACCGCCACACCGTGTCAATAGTTCATTGGTCCAATTGTTGAAGGGAAAAGAATTTTTCTTAAAACAAAAATGCAGCAACAAGAAGAAAACTAGAAAGAAAAAACAACAACAATTTAAGAAAACGACTCATAGGCCCATTTCGTGTCCAATAAATAAGTTTCAGTGTTTATTTTTAATAAAGAAAGTTAATATGATACTTGAAGACGATAAGCGAACATTTTGAAGTTTGAGTCGTCTGGTGAACTCGCATTTTAATAAACACCGATAAACTATATGAAATTCTGCTCTAAAATTTATATTTATTTTTGCTCTTTGCTTGGTGCCCTAATCACGTGCTTATATTGTTTAATGGTTAATCCGTCGCTGAGTGGGGTTCCGTGAGTTTATAGAGGACTTCCACGGGTCACGTGACTTTGTTAACTGGACGGCAAAAAAACAAAAACGTCCATTTGGCTCCTTTCAGTTGTAAGTCGGGTTATACGTTTCCGTTTTGTTTGGCTGTTGAAAATGTTTATTTCGTATTGTTCCGTTGGCTGTACGTATAGTATAGACAACGAAATGGATCTTCAGTTATATTCCACTGTTTTCAAAAGATCCGGAACGTCGCGCAATGTGGATATCATCTATTGGCAGGACTGCTCGGTGTCAAGTCCAGAAGTCATCTCGCTTGTGTTTCACTGTTTGCGGACAGCACTTCGTTGATGGTGAGTGATAATGTGCCGTTATCAATTTCGTTAAATATTCATGAGCTTCCTCATTTCAATGGAAAGCAGATGACAAACTAGAAACTACTG